GAGCAGGGAGCCCGATGCGGAACTCGATCCCGGGACTCCAGGATCATGACCTGAGCCGAAGGCAGTCGCTTAACCAACTGAGCCACCCAGGCGCCTCTGATATAGCAATTTTAATTACTTAATTATTCACTCATATCTCTTCCACTGAAGTAGGATCCTTTGTCTATCTTTTTTTTTTAAGATTTTATTTATTTGTCAGAGAGAGAGACACAGAGAGAGCACAAGCAGGGGGGAGTGGCAGAGGGAGAAACAGGCTCCCCGCCGAGCAAGGAGCCCGATGCAGGACTTGATCCCAGGACCCTGGGATCATGACCTGAGCTGAAGGCAGATACTTAACTGACTGAGCCATGCAGGCGCCCCTCCTTTGTCTATCTTAATCATAGCTCTGTCCCCAAAGCTTACCCAGCACAGGCATGCACTCAAGATTTGCTGAATTAATAATGTTTGTTGAATCAATCAATACATTTGCACTATGACTGTCTTTCCCTTCCAGAACCAGCTCATACCTTCTTGGCACTATGCTTTTATGTTTATTCCTTCCCTCTTTCCAGTTTATGTGTTCCATTTCTTTCCCAGCAGACTAGATCTCAATTTAACTTTAAATTTGGGTTCAAGTAGAATGAGTAGAAACAGTCCCAAGCTAGAAGAGGAAGATATTTTTAGGAGAGTTTTCAGAGAAAATAAACTTATTTTTAATATTCCATCCTGTCCCTCCAGCAAGTTTGAAGAGAACCAAAACACTAACCAGTACACAAATGTACTGGTATGGCATAGATTTTAAAGAGGAATTAACCAGCCTACAAGTGAGAAAAGACAGGTATTTAAGGGGGAAAAAAAAAAAAAAGGTAGGAACAAAGAATTCGGAAAAGAGGGAAATTTTCCACAGTCCTGACTAAAATCTTTCAATATTTGTCATGCAGTGCCCGCTACTACACTCTCAGAGAACAATGCCACTTGAGATACTTTTTATTTATATAGAAAACACAAAATAATCAAAGAAAGACAACTAAATTTTATAACAACTCTGAAGGGATCATTCAAGAAACTAGTTGTTATTTAAATATCTTTAGAAGGTTACATACAATTTTAATTAGTTTTTTTTAAAAGATGAATGGGGGTGCCTGGATGGTGTAGTTGATTAAGTCGATTCCAGCTTTTGATTTTGGCTCAGGTCATGATCTCAGGTTGTGAGATCAAGCCCTGCATTGGGTTCCGTACTCAGCACAGAGTCTGCTTAAGACTCTCCTCCCTCTCCCTCTGCCCCTCACCCTGGTGCATGCGTGCACATGCTCTCTCTCTCAAATTAAATGAATAAATCTTTAAAATAAATAAATAAAAGATGAATTACTAAAGTATAATGAACCAAATATACTAAATATACAAGCTATTCTACACATTGGAAAAGTCCGACTTTCAGTTTAAATCCATACAATTTATGTATCATTAGTTATTATTAATGTATCATTTATTTCCCTAAGAAACAATACTATACCAAAAAATCTTAAGACAATTCACAAAACTTTCTTTGACCCATGGGTAGCCTAAATGATCATTATATAGTGATAGCACAAAAGAATTTTAACTATCACTTATTAACAGTTTCTACAGAAAATCAAGTTTGAAATTCCAACTTAAAATACAAGAAATAAATATCAAATTCTGGCAGCTTTATTCTTCTATAGAAAAGTTTCATAAAGTATGTTCATTTAACACAAGTCCTGGCAATTTGCCTAGTGTGAGCAAGGAGGAGGGCATTTCATTGGGGATTTTATCTTGAAAAATAGAACTAAAAAGCATGAACTGTATTTCACAAAATTGTATGACTTTTTCATCTCCACTTTCACTGTACGTGGCATATAGAGCTCAAATGATGTTGGAAGATAAGTAGGTAGGAGGAAAGTAAAGGAGGGATATAATTGTTTCATTCATTCAACAAGTATTTATTGTGCTTTTACTAACAAGAATTGTTTTAGGCACCTGGGAAACATAGCTGACAAAAAGGGCAAACATAAATTTATGAAGGATTTCTGTTGCTAGTGGCAATCACTAAAGTTAGTGACAAGAGATCTCAGCCAGTGCTCCTGGGTTTCACATAACCTTTGATAATGGTTTCCTCCTACGTCTATGTCTACAAACAAAAAAAAGTAAAAATACTATGAACTGAAAAAAGTACAAATTAAAAAATTCCTCTTGGACATTTTTTCAGAAACCAGAATAATGTTTCTGGGGTGAAGAACCGAAGAATGCACTACATATGGCCAAGGATATGGACCTTATTGCTAGAAAGCAGATTAATCTCTCTCTTTCTCTCTCATACTCTCATGTCACCTCCTTTCTCATTACTGCAAACTACGCAGTGAAAGGCGAGACCCATGGGAATTGGTATTTTGAGACAGCAACATGTTCTGAAGAGACAGTGAACTGCAGAAGACTCTTAGGCAGTAACAATACAGTACTACCAAAAATAAGAGATAGGAATCAAGATTTGACTGTATGACTATAAGAAGAGTACCCGCGGGGCGCCTGGCTGGCTCAGTCGTTAAGCGTCTGCCTTCGGCTCAGGTCATGATGCCAGGGTGCTGGGATCGAGCCCCGCATCAGGCTCCCTGCTAGGCAGGAAGCCTGCTTCTCCCTCTCCCACTCCCCCTACTTGTGTTCCCTCTCTCGCTATGTCTCTATCAAATAAATAAATAAAAAATCTTAAAAAAAAAAAAAAAAGAATAGTACCCGTAAAAGAAGAGCATGTACCTTTAGAGAATTAAAGGAGCTATAATTTCACAGGAGAGTACACTATTAAATAAGAGAAGACTTGACCTTACGTAGTATGTTACCATGAGGCTTTAATTAATTAATCACAATGTACAAGGCAGGTGCATCTAAAGGGTTACATACAGTCATTGTTTTATCTGGTAAAACCATCTTTCATAAACAAGTCAACCACAGTGACGGTAGATATAATACCATGCCCAGAGATCTTCTTGGGCTTTAAAATCACTCTTTTGTTTGAATCCTCCTTTTAAGCATATTCTATATGACACTAAGCAGAAGAACCTGCTTATTCTATACGACATTAAGCAGAAGAACCTAAGAACCTGAACAAAATTTAGAGGCTGCTGTATTACGAAAGATTCTCTATCACCTAAATGATAACAGTTCTTAGTTAAGTATGAGTTAACAAAATAAGGTAAGAAAAACAACATGATTAACATAGTGGATGGATAGTTTTCAGACCCTCTGGACTCAGTCTGGTCTTTGTAAATAAAAATAGAGCAGCAGGCTAAATGTTGAGACTACACTAAAGAAAGTATCTTTAATATCTTTAGGGATAAGTATAGTCAAGTCAACAAGATAAACTATTACTTTTTAATTTCTTAAAAACAACTTCCTTTTTAATACCTTAAAAAAATTTTTTTTTTTTAAGAGAGAGGGCACATGACTGGGAGGGAGGGGTGAGGGTAGAGGGAGAGGAAGAGAGAGAATCCCAAGCAGGCTCCATGTCCAGCACGGAACAATGCAGGGCTTGATCTCACAACCCTGAAATCATGACCTGAGCCAAAATCAAAAGTTGGACACTTAACCAACTGAGCCACCCGGGTGCCCCAAAACAATATGTTTTGGTTACAAGATTCATTGATGTCAAAAGCAAAACATGTCCTTATTAATTCAGTAGGGTGCTATCACTAACATAGGAGCTACTGTTTTTCTTTTAATATTGTGTAACTCAAGAGTCCACCAATAAATATAGCTTATTGCTCAAAAAAATTTAACAGAATATTTAAATAAGAACATGCACCCAAGGAAAGAAATATTAAAACAATGCCGTATATTATTTACTGTTTTGATTTAGTTTTTGCTTGCCATAATTTATGAGAATTCCAAGTTAAAGCTTACTACGAAATGTATCTTAAGAAAAGATTTTAGGAGGTTTCAAAACGTCAATGAATTCTCATTTTAGAACTCAGACATTTTAACATCATACATAATACCTAAGCTCCAAATCAGAAAAAAAAGGCAATTTCTATGGTCAAAGAACTTTTATTAAGCAAAAACAAGCATTCCCTTATAAAAATCCCCATTGTAAGCAAATTTCAAAGTGCTATAGGCAACTTCACATGAGAATAATCCTAAATAGAATTTATTTATTTATATATATATATATATATATATAAATTTGAACCAAGTTTGTTAGACCTTAACTAATTTACATACCTGCACTGATGAATATTTGGAAAAATTTTCCATTTGATATCGTCTAAGTACTTCATTTAGTCGATCTGAAACAAAGTAAAAAAAAAAAATCTGTAGTTCACTGGCTAATGCTCAATATTTAAAAACTACAAACAAGGTAGTTATTATCTGATATATCCAATGCAAAACTGCTAGTCTCCACTGCTTCTCAAAATGAATGATCAATTTCAACACGTTTTCGGAATTTAAGAAAAGGCCCTTCTATACACGTAAGCCAACCACCTACTGCTAGTGGGAAAAAGAAGAGCTGCAAAGAACTAATTTTCCTGTTCTTACATTTTAATTCTCAGTTTTCCCTGGTTTACTCTTCAGGTTAGCAGAAGTAAAAAAAATACTCTCCACTTTTTTTTTTTATTCCTGCTACTAGAAGTGAACTGAAAAGATAAACTATAGCCGTATTTTTTCCAATAGTGAAAATTGGCTAAAATTCTGCTCCAGGACAAACCTCCACACAGAAGAGAAATGGCAGGACAAAGATTCCACATTATACAGGAGTGAGTAAGAGATACTAGAAATGAAGGACTAGAAAAAAGCCAAGTGCTCTCAGTAAGCATAAAATGATATTTTTATTCACATCAAGAAAACATATAATAGAACACAGTAAATGTACAAAACTTATTATTTCAAGATCACATGGATCATTTAAAACTGATAATTTGCTAGCAATAGAATGAATCTCAACTCTCAAAAAGACTGAAAGCCAACGAGAGTATGTTACCTGACAAGAGCGCAATGAAGCTTAATCAAAAACCAAAAAGGGAAAATTTTAATACATTTTGAAGTTCAGAAATTACTTTTTAATAACCCATGGGCCACAGGAGAAATTACAAAACAAATTTGGATGTATTCTGAATTGATCGACAGTAAAAATGTAATACCTCAAACTTGCTCAAAAAAAAATCTATAGCTTTAATTGTATATACTAGGAAAAAAGGCTTATAGTCAATGAACTATAGGTCCAATCCAAAAAGTTAGAAGAAAAGCATATTAAACCCAAAGAGCATCAAGTGAAGGAAATAATAAAGATAAGGCTACCCCCCCAAAAACGGAAAATAAACATGCAAAAAGATCAACAAATACAATCGTCTCAAAAGTTACAGTAAAAGCATCTGATGAAATTTAAGATATATTCATGATAAAACCTCAGGAATTTAAGAAGTTAATTTCCTTAATATAACAATAGATTCCTACATAAACGCACAGCAAACATCATACTTAAGGATGAGAATGTTGAAAACTTTCCCTTGGGAATTGGGAATGACACAAGGACAAATTTTCTTGACATTTATTCACACTCTACTGGAGGTCTAAGTTTATGCAATAAGGCAAGTAAGAAATAAAAGGTATAAAGACTGAAAAGGAAAAAAAAAAACCATTATCCATAGTTAATCATGTATAGGTATAGGTAAATCCCAGAGAACACACAGATAAAGTCTTAGAATAATGATCCTCAGCATGGTTGTCGGATACAAGGTCAATACACAAAAATTAATTATATTTCTATATACTGTCAACAAAGTTAGAATAAAAGATACCATTTACAATACCATACAAAAACCCAATGTCTAGGAATAAATCTAAAAGATTTTAACAAAAGATGTGTAAGACTGTGTACAGAAAACTACGAAACATTCAGCAGAGAAATTAAAGACTAAATAAGTAGACAGAGATACTCATGGTTTACAGGAGCCAGTATTGTGAAGACAGCAGTTCTCCTCAAGGTGATCTATAGGTAGTCAATGCAATCTCAGTTAACATTCCAAAAGATGATATTGCAGAAATTTAAAAGTTGATTCTAAAATATAGGTGAAAACATAACAAGAATAGCTAAGGCATTCTTGCAAAAGTAGAATGGGGGAGGACTTGCTTTACCAGTTATCAAGATTTATTACAAAGTTACAGTCATTTAGTGTGATAGTTGTATAAAAATAAACAAAACTGACCAATGGAAGAGAATAAAGAATACAAAGATAAATTCATGTTCATTTAGAACCTGAATTATGATTGAAGGGGCACTCCAGAGCAGTGAGGGGTAAAGAAAAATCTTTTCAAATTCCACCTATCAGTGAGATCATAGAATTGTCTTTCTCTGGTTGACTGATATGTGGAATTTGAGAAACAAGGCAGAGGATCATAGGGGAAGAGAGGAAAAAATGAAACAAGATGAAACCAGAGAGGGAGACAAACCGTAAGAGACTCTTAATCTCAGGAAACAAACAGGGTTGCTAGATTGGAGGGGGTGGGAGGGATGGGGTGGCTGGGTGATGGATACTGGGGAGGGTATATGCTATGGTGAGCGCTGTGAATTGTCTAAGACTGATGAATCACAGACCTGTACCTCTGAAACAAATAATACATTACATGTTAATAAAAAAATGAAAAAAAAAGAATAATCTTTTTAAAATTGGTTCTGGGTCAATTGGATATCCTCATAAAAAATAAAACATTACCCATAAAAATCAATTCTAGGTGAAATGAAGATCTAACTGTGAATGCCAAAACAATTTCTAGACAAGAATAGAATATCTTTATAAATCTTAGGTTGGGAAAGATTTTTTAATCAGAACACAAAAAAGCACTAAACATAAGTGGAAAAAAAACCTGATAAACTGAACCACATTAAAATTAAGAACTTTTGTTCAACAAAGAGACTTTTAAAGAGAGTAAAAATACAAGACACAAACATGGAGAAGGTATTTCCAACACATAAAATAGACAAAGGGCTTGTATCTAGAATATACAAAAAACTATCAATTAAAAGGCAGACAATCCTATAGAAAAGTGTTAAGAAGACATGAATGGGCACATCACATAAAGGTTAAATGGAGAAAAGCTGCTCAACCTCATTAGGCATCAGGAAAATACAAATTAAAATTACAATAAAGAGCTAAAATTATAGAACATGTTGGTGACAATGTAAAATAATGAAAACTCTCCTACACTGCTGGTAGGAATGTAAATTAGTACAACTTTAAAATTAAACATATATATAACTCCTAAGAATGTACATTAACCAAAATGTGTGCCCTTGAGCACCAAGGGCCATGACAAAAAATACTGGTAACAGCATTATTCTCAATGGCCTCCAAACTGGAAACTGCAACTATCCATCAAAAGAAGAACAGATAAACATGATAAATTTAAAACTGGAATATTTTATAGAAGCAAAAATAAACAAACTACATCTACATACAAGAATATGGATAAACTTCAAAGATATCATGTTAAGCCAAAACAGAAGAATACATGGTTTTGATTCCACTGACATAAAGCTCAAATACAGGCAAAACTATAGTGTAAAATTAAAGACTGGTTATCTTCAATTACCTTTGAGGATAAGGGAGAGATTACGATTACAAAGGGGCTTCTGAGGTCCTGGAAATGTTCTATTTTTTTTATCTGAGTTGTGGTTATATGAGTTTTGGACCTTGTAATCATTCACTTAGCTTTATATTTGTTTTCTTTACTTTTCTGTGTATGTTATACATAGCACACATATATATGGAATACATACTAATTATAATTATAAAAATTTTAAAAATGCATATATAATATGCACACACAGGGTATACATTCTATGTTAGTTTCTTCCTTGAAAGTACACATAATTTAGTGGTAAAATATGACAAATATATGTAATTCTGATAAATAATCATGGAGTACTGATAACATAAATGGTTTTAAACTTTTTATTGAGTTTAAAAGAAATTATCCATGTTTTTATTGTTACTCACAGGACTTTTAAGATAGTTACTTGACACAGCCCACTAAAATTTTACCATCATACAGGACCTGGTTCCTGCCTATTACTCTTATACCCTATGAGTCTCAAGAGGAGGTTGGAGTTATGGTCATGGATACAATAATTTCAATGCAAACCACCTTTTTGCACCTGATAGGGTTTTCAAATGAGAAAAAAACACTAAATCTGAGTTCTCAGTGATTAAAATAAATTCAAAAGTCAATTGTGGGGATGCCTGGGTGGCTCAGTCGGTTAAACATCTGCCTTCAGCTCAGGTCGTGATCCCAGAGTCCTGGGATCAAGCCCCACATCGGGCTCCCTGCTCAGGGGGGAGTCTGCTTCTTCCTCTCCCTCTACTCCTCCCCCACTCATGCTCTCTCTCAAATAAATTAATAAAACCTTAAAAAAAAAAAGAAGTCAATTGTGGATTACTGAGGGAAACACATTCAATCCTCAGAGATTGACTTTAATCTGGAGAAAATTTTACTATAACTTAAATCTCTTATATCCTTCATTCATTCAACAAGTACTTACTATACTGTTGTTTAATTTGCATTTTCTGGGTTACTGATGAGACCGACATTTTTCATTTTTTTAGTAGTTCTTCAAATTTTATTTTTTTGTAAATGGCCTGCATATTCTTTAACCATTTTTCTATTAGTATGAATTTATTTTTGTGAACGAACTTTCTAAATTCTGGATGCTAATCAATTCTCAGTTACATTTACTGTAAATATATTCTCCCTTTCTGTAGCTGGGGTAGTCTTTTATTGATGATGTCTTTTGTAATACCCAAGTTTTTATCTCTAATGTACTCTATTCATATATTTTTTCTTCCAGTCAAAATGTTTATATCTATTGAAGAAATCTTTCCCTATCCTGAGATCATAAAGACACCCTCTTAAATTTTTTTCTGAAAGTTTAAAGAGAAATTCATGTCTTCAATCAACCTGCAGATTATTTTTCTATATATGTCAGAAAGGTATCTTTATTATTTTTTCCTTCCTATTTGGATAGCCAATTATCCTAGCACCATTTGCCAAATATCCTTTTCCCACTAATTTGTATTGCTCTTCTTTCAGATAACAAGTTTCATGTATGTGTCTTTCCTGTGCTAATTTATTCCGCTGATCTATGTATGTATCAATCTGACAATCTAATATTGATTTAATAATTGGATTTTTTAAGTTTTAATAACTGGCAAATAAATTTTCCCACCTTGATATTCTTTAAAACTCTCTTGGCTATTCTTAGCTCTTCTACTAGATTTTTTTTTTCGTGAGA